GGTGCTGCTGCCGCCCCGGAAGGCAGTGAGTGCGCAGGTTGGGTAGGATGGAAGAGGCAGAGGCTGTGAAAGAGTGGTGGCCAGCTGAGTCGCGGCTGTGTCATAAGTTGGAGCAAAACTGGCAGAGGCACAGGAGGCTGAGCTCCGCATGGGCAGCTGCAGCTGCGGAGGTGTGGCGCGAGGAGTGGTGGAAGGGATGCTGGCGCTCCTCATGGCAAACTTGACCCGTGCCACGGGTCATGCGATCAGCATGGGGGAAGGGTTCGGAGCTGGCCGAGGTCTCGGCTGGGGTCGCCGCTGCAAGATACAACTGTTCCCTGCCCTCGGTAGCCGTCCATCCCCGCGTGGGCGTACGGCTGGTGTTAGCGACGTCTGTCAGCTGCAGCGGTGATGGTCGATATTGCCGTCACTGGACCCGATGTCCACTGCTGGGCCGCTGTGGGTGAACCCCCTGGGGTGGATGGCAGTGGACGGTCCTGTCGTGGTAAATGCCTGGTGCACGATGTTGTAGATCACCTTCTGGTACTCGTCCAGGTCCCCAATGTCCATGGTGAGCTGCGCTGTGACGATGGCGTCGGTGATGATGCCAATGTATGCCTCGTGCTCGGTTTGGCGGTGTCGGCCCACGCCTCTGAGGTCGTGCCTTGGAGAGTCGGGGTTTCTCCTGGTTCATGTGCCTGGTGCGTGGCGGTGTCGGTGGTCCTCTATCCCCATGCCCAGAAGCCTGTAGGTGTCTAGGCTCTCGGGTCGGGCTGTAACAGGATCCACGTAATGCGGATGTGCTCGCCCTTGGTTACGGGTAAGCAGATGTCCTCGTACATGGTCTCGGGTATCCAGTCCCTGTAGGCTTTCCGCCCTGGTTGGCGTCACCATCTGGGCGGTCCATCGCGGTGCGGAAGAAGAGAGCCGCTGGGAAATAGCCCTCCTCCGATGTAGCAGGCGCCCCGATGGAATCGCGGAGATCTGGCTCGCACTGGTCCAGAACGTGGGTGGCAGTTTCCTGCCCTTGGTCGGTCGCGTCGCCTTGGTCGTGAACGTTAGTGCTGTCGTCGAGCACCACGTCTTGCTGTCTGTCATCAGCGCCTTCTCGGTGTGCGCTGTCCTGTACAACCCCAGTTGCTTGGCAGCTATCGTGGTGTTGCTCCTGCTGACTGGGGCGGTGGCCTCGATGTTATGTCGGAGGTGGAGGCGTTGCCTCTGGAGGAGATAGGCGTATTCTCGGCGGTGCTGGCGTCACTGTGTGTGTGTGTTGTGTGTTGTGCGTTGTATGTGTGCATGTGTGTGAGTGTGTATGCGTGTGGTGTGTGTGTGTGTTTGTGGGTGGTTTCGTATGTGTTTGTGTGTGCGCGCCGTAGTTGGTTGTGCCTGGTGTTGGCGTGTTGCTCCTCTCGAATGTCGGTGGCTAGCTCATTTTGAGTATGTCGATGGGCGGCGCCATGTCTCGTACGGGTGTGGCCGTCGCTTTTGGTGGTTGGCTCTCGGTCGGCTGACCATCTGCTGGAGGGCTGATGGTGTGCTATGGGTGCGTCTGGGTCAGTGCCTTTGGTGTAAAGGCACCCGCCCCTTGCCTAGGCGGCATGCCATCTAGGAATGTACGGCTGCTCATCGGCGCTACGGACTTCGTCTGTGCGTGGTGATGCCTGGTCGCATGCGTTGTTCCACTCGATGTCTCCCCGCTTGATGATGTCCGTACCCTTGCACCTCCTCCACCTCATGAAGCTCCTCCTCCTTCATCCACATCCTCCTCCTCCTCCTCCTCCTCCTCCTCCTCCACCTCCTCATCCACCATCCACCTCCTCCTCCTCCTCCTCATCCTTTCTCCACCTCCTCATCCTCCACCTCCTCCCCCGCCTCCTCCTCCACCTCCTCCTCCACCTCCTCCTCCTTCTTCTCCTCCTCCTCCTCCTCCTCCTTCTTCTCCTCCTCCTCCTCATCCCTCCTCGCCACCCCCAAACGTCCTCCGCCTCATCCTCCCTCCTCCTCCTCCTCCTCTCCCCAAAGAGGCTCCACCTCAACACGCCCCCACCGCCTTCTCCCGCCACCCTCTCCCCCCTGAGTCTCCCTCCTGTTATCCTTCCTAAACCTCCTCCTCCCCTCCCCTCCTCCTCTCTCCTCTCTCTCTATCTTCCACTTCCTCCTCCCTCTGAGCTGCCGCCACGACGCTGCCTCTACCAGCTTCCAACGGGGCATTTGACTCAGTGAGAATGACAGAAGAAATGGGGGGCCTGAGGATTCAGACGAGACATCGGGCCCTGAAGACCATGAGGGGTCCTGAGGGCACCAAAGGCCCCGAGGACCACCGCCACCTAAAGCCCATCGGGCGAGGTTCGGCCCCTGGGTGGTGGTACGCCTGGGCATCGTGTGGTGCTGGGCGACGCTCGGCTGCGGCACCGCCCAAGGGTCGGCGCCGCCCAAGGGTCGGCCTCCCCAGCCCCCCCCCCTATGAAATCTGCGTGGCCGCTAGTGCTCCAGGGAGCCCACAAAGCGAGTACGAGGCCAGACACGTACATGAATCCCCTGATCCTCTGCCCCCCCCCCTCCTCCGCCCCTCATCCTCCTCCCCTGCCTCCTCCTCCTCCTCCTCCCCCTCCTCCATCCCTCCCCTCATCCTCTCTCATTTTTTCTCTCCTCTCTCCTCCTCATTACTATCCTCCTCCTTCCTCCTCCTCCTCCTCCTCCTCCTCTTCCTCCTTCTCCTCCTCCTCCTCCTCCTCCTCGAGACCAGCCTCGTTCTTACGAGCGTTCGCGCCATGCGTACTTCTGACACCAGAGTGGATTCATGTGTGTGTGCACGTCCTTATGCCGCTCGCCTCTGCTCCTCCTCGGAGTCTTGGGCGAAGACCAGCGCCGGAGACCAATACACAGCGACCCCAGCCAGGTAGGAAGCAGGCGGGCCCCGAGGGAAGCGGGTCCTGAGCCCCTGGGCTCGCCCCCGGGGCCGGGGGTCGGTGTTTGACAGCCCCCAGGCTTGGAGAGGGCCCCGAGAAGCCAAAAGCGGTGACAAGCCTCAGGAGCCGCCGGCGTCGTGGCGACCAGCCCTCGCCGCGAGGCCCAGGACCGTGGCGGCGGGGCGGCCGGGCGGTGCCCCGGCCCCTCCGGGGCGAGAGGCCCGCCGCCCCGCGCGCGGGCGCCCCTGCAGGGCCCTCTGGGTGCTGGGAGGGGGGCGGGGTGGCAGGGACTGCGGCCTGGGCTGCGCACGCCGGCAGCTGGACACCTCGCGCCCGGGTCGCAGGAAAGAAGGACAGCCCCAGGCCCTGGAAGCTCCCCCGCCCCGGAAGCTCCCCCACGGCCCTCATCACAACTTCTGTACGACAGGCAGTCGTTTCGAGGCTGTCATGCAGGGGGGTACGCCACCCCCTCGGCGCCAGCGACGGCCCCCTGGCGCGCGTGAGAACAGAGAGAGTGTCGCGCCCCGCGGGGCCTATTCGTCAGCCCTGGGGGGATCACCCTTTTGTTAATCACAAGCTGACATTCCCAGAGATCCGACGTCGTGATTTTTTCAATGCGGGATCCAAGGAAGGCCCGACCCTTTCCCCAGGACCAGCTTTCCGTCCCGAGTCGTTTTTAGACGGTCCCGAGGCCCGGCGAGGGCCTCTAGAGGCCGAAAATGGCCAAAAACCTCCGTCCTGAATTGTCCAATGCGCTGGATCTCTGGGTTAGGGGAGAGAGACAGCTCCAGGCCCTGGAAGCTCCCCCGCCTCCCCCCGAGGCCTGGCGCCCGCCGCGGGGCTGGGGCCGGCGCCTCCGGGGACTCGGCATAGAGCAGGAGGCGCGGCGCCCCCTGCTGCGATGGCCCGCTCTCCCCGGCTGCTCTCCGCTTCTAGCCGCTGTTGCAGTTGTCCGACTCCGACGACTCCGACGACGACGACGACGACGACGACGACGACGACGACGACGACGACGACGACGACGACGACGACGACGACGACGGCGGCGGCGGCCTGCCGCCATGCCGCCGTTCGACGGCGGCGGCGGCCGCGGCCCTGCCCCCCGAGCGCGCCCGCCTCCGACGCTTGCGCTCTCCGGGGCTGTGCGGGCAGGCTCCCCGGCGGAGGCCGGCGGGCGAGCCAAGCTCGGGCGAAGAGAACTGTGCACATGCACCGATCCTGGCAAGGCCCATCCTTGACCCAGGATCGGTGCATATGCCTTCCTGGCCAAGGTAGGAGGGCGTATGCACCGATCCTGGGCTCAGGATGGGCCTGGCCAGAATCGGTGTATGTGCATAGTTCTTTGTCCTCTACAAGCGGCTCCTGGCGAGCCAGGTGAGACGGGCCTGTCCACGGGCGGCCTTCAGCCCGCCCCCGCCCAATAGGCCCAGACCCCCTCGAGTCATGAAAAAATCACGACGGGAGGTTTTTCATCATGTTTGGACTCTGGGGGCCCTTACCGGCCCTCGGGACCGTCAAAAAACGACTCGGGACGAAAAACTGGTCCTGGGGAATGGGTCCAGACCTCTGGGGGTCGACGTCATGAAAAAATCATGACGTCGGGGGTCTGGGGGTGGGGGAACTAACATTAGGTCGGACCTGTCCCCCTACATGGAGGGCTCTGGGGCGAAGATTTGAACAGACGCCCACGCTACTCCAGAGAGAATCAGAAATAGTCAACAACAAAAAAAAACGCCCCCGACTCTTGTTTGACTTCTTTTGAAGATCCCCCCTGTAGATGGACAGGCCCGACTTAACTCTAACAATGACATGCACAGAAGCTCGGAGGTCCGCGTGGATTCCTCGGATCGGTGCTGGGGCCCCCTGGGCGCCGCCCCTGGCGCGATCCGCGCGCCAGGAAGGTGGGTCCAGCGCCTGTCCGAAAAATCCGCGCGGACCTCTGAGTTTGTGTTTCTGTCATTCCTTGCTCCCCCAAGATAGGGCAATGCCAGGCCAGGCCAGCACAGCAGTTCAGCGACTGGCACTGCAGGTGGTATTGCACAGAGCCGCCGGGAGCATCCCCTGGACCCCCACATCTGTGCCTCTTGATGGCGAGTCGTCCCGCGTCCTGCCCTGAGATCCGGCGTGGCGAACAAAAATCGAACACCGCGGACAATCGCGACCAGAGCCCTGAGCCCCATCGTTCTGCGGCATTTCTCGAGCAAGCATCGATCTGTCCTGGTCTCGGGGCCCGAAATCGGGGGCGACGACGCCCGGTGCAGAAACGATGCAACGCCCGGATCTTAGGGCACCCCGTGAAGGCATCGTCCACAGAGCCACCTCGCTTCCCTTGCAGGGTCGGTGCCAGGGAATCTTTCCGGGCGCCTGGCGCGGCCGAGCAGGCCGATGAGCAGACATTCAGCGGGGCCCCCAAAAGCCGATGATCCTCCGAATGCGTGTTGACAACAGTGTGTGCTTTTCCACCGAGGCCCTTCAATCTGACGAGGGGGGTGTAAGGATGGCCAGCACATGCCGTGTGCTATCTTCGGTGGCAACTCGTGGGAGCCTCTCATACCGTCTTGTCGGCTCTTGCGAATCGACGCTCAATCGACGCTAATCGACGCCGATGCTAGTCGACGCTAGCCGACGCCAAATCGCCGCTGTCTCATCGACTCCCATCGGCGGAGATGAAGGGGGGCAGACACACACACACTGGTAAGCCTTCGGGCAATGCGCAGACAGCCCCCCCAGAGGCAGTCCTAGCTTGCCTCGACAGGCCCCCGGAGCAGTCCCAACTGGACTGCTGCAAAGGCCCCCCGAGCAACCAGGGGCGGTCTCAACGCCTCAACGCCTGGGGCCTTGGTTGGCGTTCAAAATGGCCTGGGCATTTTTGCTTTCCATCTCCAACTTTCCGCTCTGGGAGAGCTGGAAATGGTAAACAATGCAACATCTGTTTCTCATTTTTTGGTTTATTTTTTTGCCATTTTTTGCCGCCCCAGGCTGGGGCGGCCTCCGCGCCCCCGGGGCGCCGCCGGAGGCGGCGCCAGGGGTGTCCCCAGGCAGTCCCCGCTGGCCTGCCGAGCTGGCCTCCACGGGCCCTCCGAGCAGTCCCAGGGCGGCCTCGACGCCCCCGCGCGCCGCCCTCGGCGGGCGGCGCTCCGCGCCCCGCAGGGCTGGGGCGGTCGAGAGACCGCCCCGCGGACTGCTCGGGGGGGCCCGCGGAGGCGAGCTTGAGCTGCTCGGGGGGGGCCTGCCGAGGCCAGCGGGGGCCGCCCGGGGGGCTCCCGCGGTGCGCAGCCCGAGGCCACGCCGAGACGCGCGCGCCGGGCCAACACGCGCGACGGAGGATCATCGAGAAGGGCGGGGGGCCAGCGCCTCGGAGGCGCGGGCTGCGAAGAACTGGGCGGGCAGGCCCGGGGCACCACGCGAAAGGTGCTGCCGGCGATCCAGGCTGCGCAGGGCTGAGCTGCCGCCTCTCCCGCCGTGCTGATTCGCGGGAGCGGCCTGGCGCGAAGGGGCCAACGACCCGTCTTGCGAGACACTTTGCTGACACGGTGAGCGGAGATCCAGGCATCCCGTCTCTTTCACACCGAGCGCTTCCGCCTGGCTTCGGGCCCCAGGACCATCACGGATCATTCCGGCTCGAAAGATGCCGCAGGTGCATGGGGCCCAGGGCTCGGGTCGTGATTTTTCTCGGGTTGGACATGTTCTCGCAGCGTCGGATCTCAGGGTCTCCCAGCCAAACATCGGTCTCGCCACCACCGTGCAACGCCGGTCAGAGCTCCAAAAATTCCGGCGTTGTGAACTCCACGATCATAGCGATGCTCAGGAACAGGCAGTACAGGGCGATCATGACCACGGCTAAAGCTTTGTTCAACTTCCAGCCGAGGACATGTATGGAAACGATGGTTGCGAAGACCATTGAGAGCAACATGATGATATAGAATACAAGATATGGCGATATTATCTGGATCTCGTAAGAACCCCCCTCAATAATGCCAGTCTTGATCATCCACGGGACTGGCAGACCTACCAATATGTCGAAGATGTTCGAACCGATCGACGACGACACGGCCATGTCACCCTCGCCGACTCTCGCAACGGCCATGGACGACACGGCGTCTGGAATGGAGGTGCCTGCCGCAAGGATGGTGAAGCCCATGATGATCTCGGGCACGTGGCATATTCTGCCCAGGATGTCGACCCACCACACCAGCAGGAAAGCAAAGCACGCGATCCAGCAGAGCGAGACAAGGAAGCACAACACAAACTTCGGGATGGGGTCGGCGACTCCGAGGGGTGCGGCTTGCAAAGGGTGTGATTTGCATCAGGCACACCGGGGGGGGGGGGGGCACCTTGGGGGGGCGGGCGGGGACCTCGGTTGGGCTCTCCGCCGCGCCCCGAGGAGGCCCGACGAGGACGGTGTCGTGCCCCCGGGGCCCCAGCGGCGCCGCTCGCAGACCACACCCGGGCGTGACCGCACCCCGCGCAGTCGCCGAATGGGGAGGGTCCAGGTCTCGCTCGCGGGGGTCGGCGTGAGGTACCACAGGGGCGCGTAGATGGGGAGGCACAGGCACCACATGGCCCGCTCCACGCCGCCATCGGGCATCTGCATGAAGTCGTTCTCGTCGTCCTCGTCGCCGGTGTCGTGCTCGGCGACCGGGGGCTCCTCCTCTGGAGGAAGACTTGAGAGATGAGGGTGAAGCGCTGGCATGGGGAGTGGACGGGCAGGGGTGCCAGGGCAAGCAGGAAGGGGAGTAGGGATGGGGAGAGGGCTGCAGCCAGTGATGCAGTTTGCTCTTGCTGCTGGTCTCATGCGCCGTCCGAGGGAAAACGGCGAATCCAATCACAGTCCACAGCGCCAGGGGCCACGGAGGGACATGGGCCACGGAGCCACGCCCGCGGAACCACGCCCGCGGAACCACAGGCCACGGACCAGCGGAATGGGGCAGCCAGGTCCCTCATCGGCCCTTGGTATTCGTAGAAAACTTGTTTCGTCATGCGCTCTAGAAGAGGGCGTGACCGGGTGGGTCTCCAGCAAGACAATGGCGACGAGCCAGGACGCACACAGAAACCAGCCGGCCCAGATCAGAAACATGTGCAACGGCGGCGTCACGCGACAGGCGGCCGCGGGACACGACAGGGTCAGCATTGCCAAAGGAAAGCAGATGAGCCAAGACTCACACTGTGGGAAAAAACACGCAGGGGGAAAAAAAAACACAAAGACACACACTGTGGACAAAAAAACACAGTGTGTGCTTTTCCCACAGACACAGTGTGTGTTTTTTGCCCACTGTGTGTGTGTGTGTTCTGTGTGTGTTTTGTGTGTGTATGTGTGTGTGTGTGTTGTGTGTGTGTGTGTGTTGTTTGTGTTTTTTGTGTTTTCGTTCACAAGGATCAGGCTTGCGCTGGCAAGATGGACTCGGACCGCACCGCGAATCGAAGCCACCCAGGTGCGAGCGAGCGAGCGAGCGAACGACCTCGGCAGCAGCTCGGCGTCGGCGCACGAGGCAGGGGCCTGGGAGGATGGGCTCCCGTCAGCGTCCTGTGCTGCTGCTGGTTCTGTCTGTGGGCGGGGCGGTGGGGCGCCTGGGGGAGCCCGTGGGGCCTGCAAGGCCTTGGGCCCCTCGTCGGCCCCAGGCCGCCGCACACCTCCGAATGCCTGCAAAAAGCGAGGGCGAAAGCTTGGGCTCAACCCTCCATGAACCGAGGCGCAAATGAGCCAAGACTCGGGCACACAGGGATCAGGCTCGCGTTGACAGGATGGAATCGGGCCGCACCGCGAATGGAATCCACCGCACCGCGAGGAGGAAGAGGAGGAGGAGGAGGAGGAGGAGGAGGAGGAAGAGGAGGAGGAGGAGGAGGAGGAGGAGGAGGAGGAGGGAGGAGGAGGGAGGCGGGAGGAGGGAGGAGGGAGGAGGAGGGAAGAGGAGGAGGAGAGGAGGAGGAGGAGGAGGAGGAGGAGGAGGAGGAGGAGGAGGAGGGAGGAGGAGGAGGAGGAGGAGGAGGAGGAGGGAGGAGGAGGAGGAGCGAGCGAGCGAGCGAGCCAGCGGAAGCGCGTGTCAATGACTAGCGCAACGCTGATGACAGAGAGACGGCAGAGCGATAAGCTGAAAAGCCTACCCCTCCGTTGGGAGGGCAGGGCCAGGAAGGCGCTGTGGGCAGCAAGAGAGCGCCCAAGCCGCGGCGGCAAGCCGTCACGGCAGCTACATTACAGCAAAAGCTAGGGGGAGCACCGCTCCCTGAGACGCAGTTAGTCAGATTCCTCCCCCGAGACGTCCTCCGCCCGATCCCCATCCCCACGAGAAGAGGCGGCAGTGGCAGCATCCTCGAGCCGCCGCGCGATGACTACGCGACTGAGGGAGGGCGAAACAGGGCTGAACGCGGCGGGCACATGCTCGAGGAGGTCACCTGAAGTGGGGTGCTTACCTCGCTCAGCACGCAACAGCTTTTTAGCCTGCACTGCACGTTCACCACGGGCGCGAGCAGCCCCTTTGCACAACCGCTTCAAGCCACGACAATGCCCTGAGGGCAGGATTGGGAAACAGGTGCAAGACAGGCATATGATCGTTCGGCCATGTCGAACTGGCCTATGATTCAACTCGCGGAAGACTTCAAGCCCATCGGCGCCCTGGCCAGAGGTTCCAGCAGGAGGCAGGGGAGGAGGCGGAACCAGGACCACAGGAGGGCCGGAGGGCTCCACAGGACCCAAGAGTTCTTCGGCCAGGGCGAGGGCAGCAGGGGCCGCGTGGGACGATTCGGAGGTCGACCAAAGGTTCTCAGCGAAGAACAGCTGCGCTCGCTCTGGATGGCGGTCGGATGGCAATGCCGGGCAGCACCGCTTCGCAGGCCTTTGAGCGTAGACTGCTATGACGCTGATGCATTACAGACACGGCACCGCCAGACTCCGAGCGCAGCAACATAATGCAAGTCATGCTCTGCCAATGCAAGCCTCGGGCCACTGTGCACGGTCCGGCGGTGCTCTGCAGGGCGATCAAGACAGCTAGCCATGGCACTGACAGTCTGCACAGCACCCGACAGAAACTTCCCGGTCAGCTTATTCTGCGTTAAGTGGGCAGCTTCGGAGTCCACTGCAACTTGGGCGACCAGGTTCACTTGGGCTCCCAAACGGGCGAAGAAGTCGGCCCCATAGTTTCCCCAAAAATCAAGAATAGCTTGAGGGTCTGAGTCTAGCGCGTCTTCAAGCTCACGGTGGGCCTTGACCCAGACAAACTCAGGAGGGCACCTGCTGGAAGAGCGTTCCTGGAAAATGCGACGCCAGACGTCGGCATGCTTTCCTCGGGCAGAGGCTAAAAAGGGGTTCCAGCTTTGGCCCTCCTGTACAAAGGCAAGGTGGTCGCTACACAGGGTCTCATTCTGGGGGGCTACCTTCAGCGCAAACCACCCCGCGTAGCGCTCAGCGCGGGGCACCGACTGGCGCCCAGGTAAGGGGCCGTACACCGCCCTCGCAGGGAGCCCACAAGGGCCCAGCTCGACCACGGCCCATCCGCACCTTCGCAGCTCGGGGTTGGTGTTAGCCAGCCCCGAGCCATCGGTGTAGACGCGCCGTCCCCAAACCTCAATGGTAGCTCCCAGGTGAGCACAGGGCAGGGCGGGTCATCGGGCGGCAGCCTGATGGGACGAGTGGGCAACCCAAAAGCAAGCTCAGGAGTGTCCCAAATCAGGCGTGCCTAACCCAGACTCTCCAAGGCCCTTCAGAAATTCCCTGCGCTCCAAGACCTCTTCGGGCATCTGATCAAGCTCAAGTTCCTCAGGAGGTGAGAGGAGAGAAGGGCCATCGTAAAACTGGTGCCCAGGAGTGCATGGGGCTCCAGAATCGCAAAGCCCACAAGCCTCAGAAGTTGCATATCTTTCAGCCTTCTGACGCGCTGGGGGCCACAGGGCGTTGCCTAGGAGACATCTGGCACAGCCACGTTTTATATGGTTCCCAATTGACAATATACTGAGCCTGAGCGAACGCCTCCAGACCGTGAGACTGCTGTCCGCCTCAGGAATCCTCGCGACGATCCTTGCCATCTGCCAGCGCCCTATACCCTCACGAAGAAGCGCACGAACTTCAACAGGCATGGTGGTGTACAGGCTGATCGGGCGCCCGAGGTCGTTGACTAAGATGTGAGCCGCTGACATGGTCAAGCCCATCCTCTTCAGCGAAAGGTAAACCGCTGCCATCGGCCGTGGCATCTGGTCCAGTTCGCGCCATCAGCAAAGGTGCGCACTTGCTGCTCCCAGCCACGCTGCAGCAAGGCCATGGAACCAATGTTGTCCCAGAACAGCGCGGCGCATCGGCAGACCAGACCGATCGTGGCGTCATAGATCAGGTCGTAGAACTCATCCGACTGAGTGGCCAGACACGCCGTGAGCCCAGCATACTGCCGAGCACCAACCAGTAGCCCTGCCATGCTGCGCAGCTTAGCGAGCGCGGAGTCGACGACGCCGCTGGCGTCTGCGCCGTGGGCCGCGGCGGGCAGCATCTCGAGCGCGAAAGATACCCGTGCCCTCACCTAGACAGGGTGGCAAGGGGCCGGGGGAGCGGTTCGTCGCAGCTGACGGCGGCTGTACAAGTGTAGAAACGACAGCCGATCGAGCATTACAGACCGCTGTCTTCTCGGGGCGCACGTTAGCACCGATCGCACGTGCGTTCGAATCGGCGGAGTGCCCGGCCCTGCGTTGGTTGTTGTCGATGTAGACCAGCTACTGCGGAGGCGCGCCCCCAGACACACATCCGGGCGTTGAGGAGTCAACGCGCACTCGGGGGCGCATGCGAGCAACTCTGGCGCGAACGTCATTGCGCGACAAACGCCCTATCGCGAATTGCTCGGTGCAGAGACATCGCGAATCTGTGCCCTGGGCGAGGTCGCCAGAGGCCGCCCCCCTTGGACGGCCGTCTGCGGATCACCCCAGCTAGGTACGGTTGCCCCATGAAAACCAAAAAAACATACCCGTACCTAGCCGGGGTGCCGCAGCTCACCCCAGCTAGGTCCAGGTATGTTTCGGTGGTTTCAGGCAGGTCCACGCACCTAGCCGAAGTGGCGGCAGGCCCAAAACGCTCTCGAGCACATATCATGCCCTCCAGAGCCGTCCCCGACGTGGCCGCTGCGGCCCCCTGGGGGCGCGACATTGCAACGTCGTTCCTCAGGGCAGGCCCAGACGCATTGGTTGCCAGGATAGCGAGGAAATGCAACTCTTTATCGATTGGGACAGGTGCCGCCACATATGGGCGGCTTTGAACCGCGCGCGCACCACGATGCCCTGAGACGTCCCTGACAAAAACCAGCGCTTGTCGCTGCAATCAGACACCCAACCATCGAGCGCGCCGTTGCGTCTTGACGCGCGGATGCTGCACTGGCGCGCGCGGGGCAAGCTGACCTGGCACAATAGCAGGCGCCCAGTCCCCCGGACGGCCCATCTCACCTTGGCTGGCCCCGGGCACGGGTATCTTTCGGACCAATGACAGCAAGCCCGTGCGCCAGAGCGCTCGCACCTTGCCTTTCGACCCTCTGATGAGAGCCCTCAGCTAGGTCTCGCGCTGCTGGGGTCCCATCAACCGTTTGCGCTCTTGAACCCTGCGCAGTCGGGCCCCTGCAAGCTCGCGGCCAGGGTTGCGAAGGTGCGAGTGACACTTCAACCTGAGGAGCGCTGCCATCTTGC